CGCAATCGCCACCACCTGCTTTCTCATTCAAATCCTCACGCTCACTCTATAGCCCCCTCCCTCCCAGCCCCGAAGCTCCCGCAGAAATCAGGAACTGGAGCTTGAGAGAGTGGACTGGAGCTCCCGCCACCTCCACGGGCCCCAGCCCGCTGAGGGTAGGGGGCCGAGAGCTGGACCTGGACCCCTAGGCCTACACCCCCTTGCGGGGCTCTCCGGCAGGCCAAAGCCGGAAGCTCTGGGAATGAAGTCTTTTTTCCCCTCAAATTTCAAAGGTTCCCAAACCCAGGGATCCCACTCGATACTCAGTTTGGCGCTGTGTCCCAGAGAGCCTCGGTGGTGGGAGGGCAAGGGAATTGGGCGAAACGAAGTTGGAGGTGAGGGCAGAGAGAATGGGAACTGTGCGCAGCTAGCAGCAGAGTAAAAAGTGTCAGCACCATATCTTAAAATTCGGAACCGCCCATCGTATCGCCCCTCCCATTTTTTACCGATCCAAGAAAATAGACTATGTTTTGCAGTTATGACCAAAGACATTTGCTTTGAATAAAATGCAGCTAAGCCTGAGGAAGGGGTAATGTAGGAAATACTCTACTTTTATTCCCCACCCGACGTCTAGTTTCTTCTTCCATATTCTTCTAAACGTTCAACCGCCAGCTATTCAATGAGATTAATTTAGGGGCTGGCGGACTCGAGCGGCCAACCTGCGGTGAGTTAGAGCACAGTCATGGCAGAGGAAATTTTGCGCACAGTAGGCACTCAAATGGTCATGAAACGATGAAATCTATTGAGCGTACCGACATGGTAAGCAAGCGGGTTGGTGCAGGTGCTGGAACGCGGACCACCACCGGCCCGGGCAGCCGCGGTGTAATCCGGCGTCGGGATTCCAGGATTTACATGTATCAGCCTTCATTCAACCTGCCCTATTGTTAGTTCAAAGCCTGCCTGGGAGGGACTGCGTGCGGGACATTGCTCCTCACTCACCTTCAGTTTAAAATTCTCCACCAATAAGAAGATCCTAGAAAAGCTGGCAGCATGGGGTTGGCAGGGATTTTCTGGGCTTAGTGACAACGTAAAGTCATTTTCTTTTTCACGCGTGAATTTGTTCAGGAAGTTACAAATGAGTGCCGGAGCTTGAAGAGGGGGTCCTGGCTGCCGGTACACTTTGATGGACAGTTAGTGTGTGCGTGCGTGAGTGCGTGCGTGTGTGCGTGTGCGTGTGTGTGTGTGTGTGTGTGTGTGTGTGTGTGTGTGTGTTGGGGGGGCAGTAAACACCGTGACCTCTTCAGCATAAGATCTAGGGTTTCACCTTTTCATCCCACTTAGCTGATACCATAGAAACAACCCATTTGTATTATTCAATTCAACAGAGGCAATTACAATGTCACAGCAAAGCACCATGGGCAAGAAGAAACTTTATCCTGAAAGTAATCCTGGACTCTCAGAAAAAAAGGAAAAGCCACCAGATAGTTGCTTGAATTTCTTCCTGCCAGGATACCGGGAAGAAATCAGTTTGGCAAAAGACATATAAGGTATTTTAGTTCTATAGAAAGACACCTCCTCCGATTTTTTTTTTTTTTACATGTTCACACAAATTTATCAGAAATTAAACAGACAACCCTTCTACCCCCAAATTGCTATAGTTTTGTAGACGTGAGCTTTTTGGAGATTTGTTTTGCTGGAAATCTCCATGGTGAATAGGGGGGCCAAAAGAGGGGGACAAAGACAACCCCTCACACAACTTCAGAATTTACCCCCCACAACCTCCTGTGTTTGTCTTTCTCATATCTGAAAAAAACAACCACAGAGGTACATGTTCAAATAAATTCAAACACAAAATTCATAACAAGAACTCCTGTTGGGTATGCATTCTTTATCTTGATAGTTTTAATGTCCATAATTTTGTGGACTTTAAAACTTTTTAGTTATGCAGTATTTCAAACGTACCAAAATCAAACACCCATATAATACTCTTGCTTCCCCACCCCCTCTTTTTAAAATAAAATATCACAGATACAGCTAAAATCCCTTTTCTGTCTCTCTTCCTCAGCACAGATAACCAATCTGAAGCTGGCGTGAATCATACTTAAGCATGGTTTTAAAGTGTTTAGGACATATGTATATATACATAAAACTTTTAATGTAGCTTCTCCCTCTGAGCCCTTTTTATACCATTAATCAGAGAAAAATTAACTAACACCAAGGAAATACTGTTACATCGCTGTTTTTAGAAGCAGGACAGAACTATTTTTTCTGCTTGTGAC